AATATTAATGGATAAATTTTTTAAGGTGCTACTAGAAAAAATTTCTTCTAATTGTGAAATTTATTTATTGTAGGTTAGATGTCTACTGATTGATAAATTTTGGTTTGGTATCCGATATCTTTTGGCTAAATAAAAATTTTAATGATTATTTATCTCAATAATTTTACAGAGCAGTTGATTCGACCATAGGGCTTTTCAATGAAGGTCAAAAAAGTTGATGTCTGATTAGTTTGATGTTATTACTGAGTTTGAACCTCTTTAAATTAGAAAAGGTATTGCACAAGAAAGAAAAAAATAAATTTAATATCCTCCTAATTTCTGTTAAGTAGAATCATTAGGCCATGATATCAGTATTTGATCATGAATAAAGTGGCTTAAGAATATAAAGTACTCTTGATTGTATTATGAATTTAACCAGGTCTATGAGACCTTGCTAATAGAATATGAAGAAAACAATAGCTAAAATAATAGACTAATTCTAAAATTCAATTAATCAATATCAAATTGGAGTGGCTTTTGTAGGTTACAGAGAAATACACTTGAGAGCAATCGATTTTTGTACCCTTGATGATGAAAAACATAGAAAAAATTGTAATTTTACATTGTAATTTTTAGATAGAGCAATACATATTAGATAATCTATAAATAACTATTCTTCCAAGAATATCGCATAACTCGAAAATAATTGATGGGGATCACATGCTATTTATTAAAATTTTACAAAAAAATTTGGAAACTTATATAAAAAGTTAAAATCAAAGGGGACTAAGCAGAGGATGTAGTCTCTGCATTCGAATAAACTTTCAAAACTTAATTTTTTCTCCTCATTATGACGGCTTACTATGAATATTTTCATTTGCTGATGCTCTTTGCCATGGAAGGGACTATCATAAAACTCAATCTGATGACTAGATTGATAAATATGCCAAAAATTATTTTGAAAATGTTTTGGAAAAATTTTAATGAATCAAAACAGAATAATTTTTTATATAGTATAAAAATCAACAATAGAACAGACATTATGTTTGAAAAAATGAAAGCAATCATTCAATTGTAGATAATAACAACAGAATAAAAATCTCAAAACTTTGTTGATGTCATTGGATTTACATTGAGAATGTTTAAAACAGAATCTAAAAGGTTAAAGTCATGAATTAATAATAAGCTCTAATATTATAAAGCAGAATTTAATTTAGATACTCTAATTACATAATATCAGGATGGTAGCTTTGGAAAATAATTGTTTCAAAAAAAAAGAAAGGTATCATAGATTAAAAATAACTATAATAAAAAATGAAATAAATAATGAAATAGTTAATTCCTCTACATACATATTAAGACCTTTGAAGCCGTAAATATGCAACAACAAGATTTTACTCATTTTGTTATGCTTATCAAATGGCATTTTGTTAATTAGAGATTAAAAGATAATAATCTATTCAATCAAATACAAACTCTTTTTTATGTCCACCTAATTTTATAAAATTTAGATACAAAATTTTAGGGGATGAAAATTGTCTCAGGTGAAACCCTCATTCAGATTTATGACAACTTTGAATAGTAGATTACAAACAGTTTTGATATTAAATACAATAATAATATTTAATCAGCATTTAGTTGTATAACATTCCAGGCTAGTAAAGGAAATTTAGTCATTATGGATTTATATTGAAGTAATAACATACTCGCAGATTCTTTGATCTAAGCCAATCAGTATGGGTATCAATTTTAGATTAAGATGATACTGATTGAAGAAATAAAGATTAGTAAATTTTAAATAAAATTAACATAAAGAAAGAGTAGGTCGGAAGGTAAATTTTGTTACTTATTATTTCTAACCTTGTATAAAGAAGGAAAAAAATGGGGGAAAAATTTTGTGTTATGTTCGGATTGTAAATTTAAATGCTCAAGCTAAGTTAATAAATGCTATTACTTTAAGAAAGGTTGAAAAAGATTATGAAAGAATTAAATATATTAATTATTCATCTTATATTTTTGCAAAAATACAATTATTTCTATAGAGGATTATAATGAGAAATCATTTTATGATTGCTAATTTAATAATATTGTCAATAAATCAATTTAATAGATATTTTTTCTCTTAAAAATTATTCAGATATAATCCCTCATTTTTTTAGAATCATTTGAATACTTTCTCTAATGATCAGAATTTTATTTCAAAACATGATACTTTATTGAAACTATGATTTCATATTATTGTCTCAAATTAATTTTAAAAAATAAGTTTTCTTCCTAATTTTTTGTATAAAATTAGTTTATCTGAATCAAATAAATCCTTTTGATCTTTTTATACAAATTCTATTTAATTATAACTGGGCTGCCATTTTATTTGAATCTGAAATGTCACCCAAATGCAATTTGAAAAAAATTTATGAGATTAAAAAAATAAAAAAATCTTCGAATTGATTTTTTAATCAAGAGCAAGATCATGCATGTAATAAATTTAATTTCACATTTTTTAGAAAGTAAAAAAATAATATTTTTAAGAATCTAAATACCATTAAATTCCAAAGTTTACACTAGTTGATGAAAAACTTATTAATAGTAATATTAATTTAAATTACTTATAATACTCATAACTCTTCTATATATTGGAATGTTTTACTTTCAATATTTGCAAAAGTAAACCAATCAATGATTTGAGTTTTGTAATTTAGTATATTATTAACATATTAAAATTAACTTAAAACATTGCATTTTTTTAGTCTTTAATAGAAATTTAGAGTGAAAATTAATTAAATTAATGATAGTAAAATAAAATGGATTGAATATTTTTAATTAATCTCTCATAAATATTTATTTATATAAAACGCTTATTACATCATCAATTTTGTCACATAAATTTATTTTTTTTTAATGTCCAAATACTTATTTAGAGTATACCTTATTTTCTTGAATTTTGTATGTAAGGACACATTTTATAGCTATTTTAGTTGCTTTGAGTTGTGATCCAGGTTATATTGAAGTTGAAGGATTTTGTATAAATATAAGTAATTGCCCGACTAATTGTTTAAGTTGTCAGATAAGTACAACGTGTGATACATGCTTGCCAGGATATTATTGTATTACTTATATCTATTTTCCTGCTAGTATAGGTGTCTGCATTTTTTACAAAATGTGAGGCTTGTTCTGATGGATGCAAAGTTTGCAGCAGTAATAATAATTGTTCGATCTGTTTTCCAAACTATTACATATCTGGTTTGATTTGTTAGCCTTGTCCTATTTAGTGTGCAACGTGTACATCTAACAATGTATGTTAAACTTGCAAGGATTCTTATTACATGATTGGAACTATGTGTTCAGTTTGTGATACTTCATGCAAGACATGTTTAGGTACGATTAGTACATGTACATCATGTGATGATGGCAAATACCTTTCTGTTTCATAATGTTTTCCTTGTTCGTCTCCATGTGCTACTTGTGTCAATAATGCCAATGATTGTACTTCTTGCATTGGTTATGATGTAACATTAGTGAATAATAAATGTGTTTGTGATGATGGATTTTACGTTGATGCATCAAATTAATGTTAACCTTGTTCAGAACCATGTGCTAATTGTGTCAATAATGCCAATGATTGTACTTCTTGCATTGGTTATGATGTAACATTAGTGAATAATAAATGTGTTTGTGATGATGGATTTTACGTTGATGCATCAAATTAATGTTAACCTTGTTCAGAACCATGTGCTAATTGTGTCAATAATGCCAATGATTGTACTTCTTGCATTGGTTATGATGTAACATTAGTGAATAATAAATGTGTTTGTGATGATGGATTTTACGTTGATGCATCAAATTAATGTTAACCTTGTTCAGAACCATGTGCTAATTGTGTCAATAATGCCAATGATTGTACTTCTTGCATTGGTTATGATGTAACATTAGTGAATAATAAATGTGTTTGTGATGATGGATTTTACGTTGATGCATCAAATTAATGTTAACCTTGTTCAGAACCATGTGCTAATTGTGTCAATAATGCCAATGATTGTACTTCTTGCATTGGTTATGATGTAACATTAGTGAATAATAAATGTGTTTGTGATGATGGATTTTACGTTGATGCATCAAATTAATGTTAACCTTGTTCAGAACCATGTGCTAATTGTGTCAATAATGCCAATGATTGTACTTCTTGCATTGGTTATGATGTAACATTAGTGAATAATAAATGTGTTTGTGATGATGGATTTTACGTTGATGCATCAAATTAATGTTAACCTTGTTCAGAACCATGTGCTAATTGTGTCAATAATGCCAATGATTGTACTTCTTGCATTGGTTATGATGTAACATTAGTGAATAATAAATGTGTTTGTGATGATGGATTTTACGTTGATGCATCAAATTAATGTTAACCTTGTTCAGAACCATGTGCTACTTGTGTCAATAATGCCAATGATTGTACTTCTTGCATTGGTTGTGATTTAACATTAGTGAATAATCAATGTGTTTGTGATGATGGATTTTACGCTGATGCATCAAACTATTGTTAGCCTTGCACTGCTCCATGTTCAAAATGTTAATATAATGCTACTAATTGTACTGGATGTATTTTAACCTATACATTAAGTTAGGTTATATAATCTAAATGTGAATGCTCTTATGGCTATTTTTAGTTTGATTAACAAACATGTAAGCCATGCATAAGTCCATGTTAAACCTGTGAATAAGATGAGAATAAATGCATAACTTGTGTTGATATGAATTAATTAGTAACAGATTTACATCAGTGTATATGTAAAACAGGTTGGATTTTTAATACTGATGGAATCACATGTATCCAATGTTAATTACCATGTTTAAGTTGCGTAGATACAGTAAANGAAATTTAGAGTGAAAATTAATTAAATTAATGATAGTAAAATAAAATGGATTGAATATTTTTAATTAATCTCTCATAAATATTTATTTATATAAAACGCTTATTACATCATCAATTTTGTCACATAAATTTATTTTTTTTTAATGTCCAAATACTTATTTAGAGTATACCTTATTTTCTTGAATTTTGTATGTAAGGACACATTTTATAGCTATTTTAGTTGCTTTGAGTTGTGATCCAGGTTATATTGAAGTTGAAGGATTTTGTATAAATATAAGTAATTGCCCGACTAATTGTTTAAGTTGTCAGATAAGTACAACGTGTGATACATGCTTGCCAGGATATTATTGTATTACTTATATCTATTTTCCTGCTAGTATAGGTGTCTGCATTTTTTACAAAATGTGAGGCTTGTTCTGATGGATGCAAAGTTTGCAGCAGTAATAATAATTGTTCGATCTGTTTTCCAAACTATTACATATCTGGTTTGATTTGTTAGCCTTGTCCTATTTAGTGTGCAACGTGTACATCTAACAATGTATGTTAAACTTGCAAGGATTCTTATTACATGATTGGAACTATGTGTTCAGTTTGTGATACTTCATGCAAGACATGTTTAGGTACGATTAGTACATGTACATCATGTGATGATGGCAAATACCTTTCTGTTTCATAATGTTTTCCTTGTTCGTCTCCATGTGCTACTTGTGTCAATAATGCCAATGATTGTACTTCTTGCATTGGTTATGATGTAACATTAGTGAATAATAAATGTGTTTGTGATGATGGATTTTACGTTGATGCATCAAATTAATGTTAACCTTGTTCAGAACCATGTGCTAATTGTGTCAATAATGCCAATGATTGTACTTCTTGCATTGGTTATGATGTAACATTAGTGAATAATAAATGTGTTTGTGATGATGGATTTTACGTTGATGCATCAAATTAATGTTAACCTTGTTCAGAACCATGTGCTAATTGTGTCAATAATGCCAATGATTGTACTTCTTGCATTGGTTATGATGTAACATTAGTGAATAATAAATGTGTTTGTGATGATGGATTTTACGTTGATGCATCAAATTAATGTTAACCTTGTTCAGAACCATGTGCTAATTGTGTCAATAATGCCAATGATTGTACTTCTTGCATTGGTTATGATGTAACATTAGTGAATAATAAATGTGTTTGTGATGATGGATTTTACGTTGATGCATCAAATTAATGTTAACCTTGTTCAGAACCATGTGCTAATTGTGTCAATAATGCCAATGATTGTACTTCTTGCATTGGTTATGATGTAACATTAGTGAATAATAAATGTGTTTGTGATGATGGATTTTACGTTGATGCATCAAATTAATGTTAACCTTGTTCAGAACCATGTGCTAATTGTGTCAATAATGCCAATGATTGTACTTCTTGCATTGGTTATGATGTAACATTAGTGAATAATAAATGTGTTTGTGATGATGGATTTTACGTTGATGCATCAAATTAATGTTAACCTTGTTCAGAACCATGTGCTAATTGTGTCAATAATGCCAATGATTGTACTTCTTGCATTGGTTATGATGTAACATTAGTGAATAATAAATGTGTTTGTGATGATGGATTTTACGTTGATGCATCAAATTAATGTTAACCTTGTTCAGAACCATGTGCTACTTGTGTCAATAATGCCAATGATTGTACTTCTTGCATTGGTTGTGATTTAACATTAGTGAATAATCAATGTGTTTGTGATGATGGATTTTACGCTGATGCATCAAATTAATGTTAGCCTTGTTCGTCCCCATGTTCTACTTGTGTCAATAATGCCAATGATTGTACTTCTTGCATTGGAGGTGCTGTAACATTAGTGAATAATCAATGTGTTTGTGATGATGGATTTTACGCTGATGCATCAAACTATTGTTAGCCTTGCACTGCTCCATGTTCAAAATGTTAATATAATGCTACTAATTGTACTGGATGTATTTTAACCTATACATTAAGTTAGGTTATATAATCTAAATGTGAATGCTCTTATGGCTATTTTTAGTTTGATTAACAAACATGTAAGCCATGCATAAGTCCATGTTAAACCTGTGAATAAGATGAGAATAAATGCATAACTTGTGTTGATATGAATTAATTAGTAACAGATTTACATCAGTGTATATGTAAAACAGGTTGGATTTTTAATACTGATGGAATCACATGTATCCAATGTTAATTACCATGTTTAAGTTGCGTAGATACAGTAAATACATGTGTTACTTGTTAAGATCAGTTACATCAATAACCTAATTCTTGTTAATGTGAATCTGGATGGATAAATGACAATAATTACTTTTGCATACCTTGTTAATAGCCATGTAATACTTGTGAGATATCTACATCAAAATGCTTGACATGCTTAGATATTAATCATGAACTTAATAACATGTCATAATGTGTTTGCAAATCCACTTATTATTCTGATAGTTTAATCACATGTGCAAAGTGTTAGGAACCATGTTATTAATGTGATATAAATGGATGTATCAACTGCATAGATATAAATCAAATTTTAGATTCCAATAAATAATGTGTTTGTAAACCTGGATATCTTTAATAAGGCATTTTATGTTTGCAATGTCAAAATCAATGTTCTACTTGTATAAATACTGTTGATGAATGTCAAACATGTGTGGATCCAAATTAGATAGTCAAAGATTATTAATGCTAATGTAAAGAAGGTTTTTTGAGGAAGGGAGATTATTGTTGTGATTAATATTGCATAGATTGTTAAGGAATAGATAATTGTAATAATTGTATGAAAGGATTCTATTTATCCACAATTAGTAGATGTTTAGAATGTATTGATCATTGCGACGTTTGCTATAATTAAGTAAATTGTGAAATTTGTTAAGATGGATATTTTATAAATGACATTAGATAATGTGAACTGTGTATTTCTTCTTGTAAGGTTTGCAACAATACATTGAGTTGTGATATATGTTTTGATGGATATTATTTACTGGATTAGAAATGTGAGCCATGCAATCAAAATTGTTTAACTTGTAGTGAATTATCAGAAAAATGTCTTACTTGTAGTACTAATTATGAAATTAATTCTAATAATTAATGTATCTGTAAAGTTGGATATTATGAATAATAGAATTAATGTTATAAATGTGAATACCCATGTAAATTATGTTTAAGTTAAACAATATGTTAAGAATGCGTTCTACTATCTAATTTACATTTAGATTTAAATTTTCAATGTAATTGTATTTCAGGGTACTTCTGGAATAATAACAGTTGTTCTTAATGTTATGAATCTTGCTTAACTTGTATGGACAATTAATTTAATTGTATGAGTTGTGACTAAAAACTTCATCGAGTTTTAAATAATAATAGATGTTATTGTACTTAAGATTATTTTGAAAATGAAGATGGAATTTGTATATCATGTTTGGATAAATTAGGGAAATCTTAAGTAAGTTGCAAATATTAAGATTGTAAGGATTTAATTTGGACATATGGGGAAGAATGTGATGATGGAAATGATGTAAATAGAGATGGTTGTTCTAATTGTAAGATTGATCATAACTATTCTTGTTTTAATGAAATACAAAAGTAATCAATTTGTTTTTAATGTCCAACTAATTGCATATCATGCCAAATGAATCCTTTAACAAATAAATCATAATGTATTAAATGCAAAATAGGTTATTTCCTAAATAAAAATGATTGTGTTGAATGTTCAATTAATTGTTTTGAATGCATTGATAAAGCTTAAAATTGCATAAGTTGTAGGTTTCCACAATAGAAGAATCATAAGTGTTAACCTTGTGAATCAGGATATTATGCAGATGAATCAAATAGAACTTGTTTAAATAAATGTGGAGATTACATTAAAGTAAAGGAGGAGGAATGTGACGATGGAAATCTTATTAAAGGTGATGGATGCAATGATTAATGTAAGCTAGAAAATGCATTTATATATCTAAATGGAGTAAGTATCCTACCAAATTATCCAAAACCATTATTATAAATTGCAGATATTTCTTAAATCTACTCTGTTATTCGATTATTCAAATTATCATACACAACTCGCATAGTTATACCTGAAGGTTTCTAAATTATAGATTATCTATCCTTTCATATCTAAAATGATTAGAGTGTCTAGCAAATTGATCAGTAATTTCAACTTACACAAGAAGTTTCATTGATTAAAGAGTTTAATTAATCTGAATTAAGTTTGATGATTAATATCTCTTTTAAAAGAAGTTCACAAGACGAATTTTTATTAATCAGATTCTTAAATAACTCAATTATTTAATCAAATGAAGGATACTCCCAGATCGAAAAGGAAGTTTCTTGCCTTATACCAAAAGTGGTTTACATAGATGATGTCACCATTGCTCAAGTGCAATTAACAACAACGAGTAACTCATATATGCTTTACTTTATTGGTGCAATGTGTGGAGGATCAATCTTATTTGGAGGAGTTGAAGTCTTTTTTAATTTATTGGATACTCTCTAAATGTTATCTTATTTGAAATATATTAACACCCAATTTCCATATAATTTATAAGCATACTTTAAACTTTTTGGATTTGCTTAATTTAATTTTATTTAAAAGATTTTTGATTTCTCAGGATTTATTGATTAAATGCTTGATATAAAAAAATTAAAGAAGATACCCACTAAAATAGCAAGTGATGATATAACATCATTATTTATTATTAATGCTGCAACAATTGCAACAGTTTGGATTTCTCTTTTTACCATCTATGCAATTGCAAAAGTGATACCTAAAATTTTAAATTCACTGAAACTTAAGTTTTATTCTGAATCTTCAGGTGAAAATCATAGACTTATCAAAATTGGAGTATACTATTTAACTATTAAGTTTATCATTAATAGATTGTGCTTTACTATCATTTCAGAATTCTTTTATAGTGGAATCTTACGTGCTCATATGGCTACTGCATATGATTTTACTTTCAGTGTAATACTGTAATTGTATGCATTAGAACTAAACTCTCCAAATTTGCTTATCAGATTTAGTTCAATTTTAGCTTGTGTCGCAATAACAATATATGTTTTTAGCATCTATTTTGTAATAAAACTATCTTCAATGAAGAAATATGCTTTTAATAATCAAGCTATCTAAATTAAGTATGGATCTATATTTGATGGTATTAAGATTAATCAATTTTCCAAATATCTTAATGTAATACTTCTAATCAAAAAAATTATCTTTATGTATTTATTAATTTTCGCATATGAATTTCCAATTTTTTAAACTGTCAGTATTACATTTCTATCAATCTCTATGAGTTTATTTTATATCTTATTTAATCCACTATTGGATAAATTGGAGTATTATAAATAGTTATTGAGTGAAGTTAGCACATCTTTTACACTATTGAGCATTACAATTCTGACTTGTGATGTTGAATTAGTATATCTTCCATATGAAATTCAACAATATTTTGGATGGAGTGGTATTATTTTTATGACATCAATATTATGTATTCAATTAGGAATCGATGGTTTTTAATAATGGAAGTTTCTTTTTCAAAAATATAAGCAAATAAGAAGACTAGCTTAAACAATACTTAGAGTATTTTAATAGAACAATTAAGAATGTGCTCCATCTAGCGTTTTCTAATGATTTAAAGCATTTCCCAATATATTGTATTAATAATTGATTTTTCTAATTAAATATTGATAATAATATAAAAAATTATTCTTATTTTCGACATTAACTTATTTAATGATAAAATTAAAAAACTAAATTAATTACTTTATGGATTCATTTCAATAATTATTTTCTTTATTTTTACACAACTCATACCTTTCTTGAACGATTAATTCTAACTAAGATTTTCCAAAGTTTTTAATAACCATCATATCAAAATATCAATAAATTAAAGCCATAATTAGACAATTGATAATAATAAGATATTCATTTGTTAATTTATGAACTATTATTATACTAAAATTTTTGTATAAAATTGCTTTTAAATTAGCTTGTCATATATATAAGTGTATGAGTAGCCAAATAAAGAAAGGTGATCATCATTTTGGATTAAGTATCTCAGAGTACTACTCTGAAAAAATAAGAAAGAAAATTTGATGCTTTAATATGAGCGATTGAAAAACCAAAAAATTTAAAAATAATATTGAATTTTCATTAATGAAATATTTAACAAAAACTTAACATAATCCATTTATAATCTAAAATAGTTTAATAATGATTATGTTGTACAGATTCGTTCAAGTATTTTATCATGCCCCTTCTTCATAAAATTTTACTATTATCTCTAAGTGATTCTTTTTTTTTAATAAAAATTCTAGGTGGTTTACCCATATTAAATTATAGTGAGACTTTAATTAAGTAGAAAGAAAACTTTTAGAAATAAAAACTAAAGTTATTTTAAATATAAATCTATTTATAAATATAAATTTCAAATCTTGCAAGGTTATCTTAGTATTAAGTTAATAGAAAGAGATAAATTTTAATTAATATTTTCTGAAGGGTAGTATCATATATTATTTAGAGTTTAGTGAACACTATATGAGAAGATATCTTGAGGGATAGGAGTATGATAATTATATTCATTATTGAAGATATATTAGATTAATTGTGAAATGAATAATGGATTGGTTATTTTAAATACTTAATTTTTAATAAAATAATTAAACTACCATAATTAATTTTATTTATTTTTATAGAAAATTTGAAAATTAGAGCTAGAATTATTCATTACAAATATCCTCCTTAATAATTTTATTAAAGAACCCTTATACTTTTAAAGTTCTTGATAAAAATTAAAGTGTTATAGATGCAATGTAGTTCATCTATTTAAATTAGCTTTTTCAAGAACGCATGCATATTAAGAAAATGATTTTAAGAATTTAAGGAGAAATCTGTTTATTGGTCTTTGAATTTGTCATATGAAAAACACCCAATTATGATGAATTATGTGTCTCTGTAAATATGATAGTCATCTTTGACCTCTAACTAATATTAAATTTTTCTTGAAGTGTATCACAACTGTAGGATTCAATTTCTAAAAGAAAAACTCTCCTTTTTAAAAAACTTTGAATTCTTTTATCAATTCATCATATGAAAATATGTAATAACAGTCAGCTTCAAGTAGTTTTTTTGCATAAGCCTCTACAAAACATAATTATAATATAATTATTTTTTGATTTTAGTCACTAATTCACATTCTTATTCTTGGCATTAAAATAATTTTATTCGATTCTTAAAATTAAAATTGATTTTGTATAAATTTTTTGTATAAATAATCGAAATTAAATTTAATTTTCTTTTTTTCATCTAAAATTTTTTAAAGGATCTTTAATCTGGATATGTTAATAATTTCGACCTTTTTAATTTATTCAAAGTATAACTAATAAAAGTTTTTGATATCATCATTTTATCAAATCATATTTAATATCTTATAAATTTCACTAAATTTTTCATTGCTATATCAATATTAATCATTATTTCAAAAATCTTCACAATTATTTCTATAAATTCTTGAAATTGCAAAGCTAGTATTCTTTTCTTTATTATGAGAAAAATTTTTCTGGTTCTTTTTCTTATTTATTCTGTGTTAATCTGCATTTTCGAATATCCCTGAGCAACATAAAAAATTAATTCATTATTAAATTAAATTTGAACTTAATATTTTTTATTTAAGTTTAACATATAGGTCATACTAATTTTTCAGAATTTATCTATTAACTTCTGCATATTCTTATTTATGAACAACAGATGCTACAAAAGTGCTAGTGTACCATAACAATAGAATTTTTTTTCACCTGATTAAGATTCATTTTATTTTATTGGATTTTCACTAGATTAAGACTAATTTTATTTTAGGATTCGACAATTAAAATAAAGAGACGGATATTCAACCATCTAATCAGATTTGTTCTTTAATTTCATTTAACAATTAGATTATTTATATTAATTAATTTTTTCCTTAAACTGTATTAATTAGACTTTCTATCTTGTAATTGTTTGTTTTTTTAAATCCCTATAGTTATCAATCTGATAACGAATCAAATTAATTACATAGCACCAATTATATAATTTTTAATTTTTTAGAGTTTTTTCTATAATTCTTGCTAAATATCAAACTAATTTATTAACTGCAATTCATAACCTTTAACATGTTTGCACCTTATGTCTTACTAGAATGTTTATATTTAAATTATCAAATAAACATAAAGACTAGAATTATAGTAAGTATGAAAATTAATTTAACTCAAAAATTAATGTTAAGTATTTATTGAGGAGATGTAATTTTAATAATTTTGATGTTTTTAAAGACTTACAAAAATATTTATAAATACTTTAAAAAATAATCAAATTAGGCTAGATAAGAAAATTAATAAAATTTTTCAATTGATCTTCATTATTCTCTATTTATAAACATTTTATTTAATGTTAAATTTTAGTTGAAATTAAAGGGTCACCGAATCTTTTTTATTTCTTTTAATGTAAGTTAATAAAATCCCATTTAAAACAGAAAATTTATCAGCAAGAGTATAGAAGTCTTTCTTTATTCTTATATAGAGATCATGTGGTACAAAATCCAAAACCTCTTTATAATCTATTTGACAATGAGGACATTCATACGATCTCTTCTTAGAATTAAATCCATTTAAAACTTAGAGATTTAGGAATTTATCTTCAAAATGATTTGCAATTTTCTCCAAAACCTATTTAAATAGCATAACTTACAGAATAGTCGTATTTTTTACCAGTGTTTTAATTTATGAGTCGAAAATCAAGATTAGTCATAATACTAGAATCATTAGTTGATTTATTATTTTCAAATATATGAATTAATAAAATTAATGAATTTTAGAAATCGTTCTTAATATTTCAAACCTACTTTTATATATTTAATTTTATATTAATTCTATTTGATTAAATTTCTCTTTCAAATTGTCAATCTTTTAGGGTTTTCTTGATATTAAATTAAAATAGATAACGAGAATTTGTTGTGCTTTAGTGCCTTAAAATAATATACTTGAGTTTACTAAGAATTATCATTCATATTTAAATGCTTACTTTCAACTAGGATATTAATAACCTATATTTTTATTTATTTATTAAATCGAATAGATATAAGATTATACCTTAAAGTTAATTTACAAGGAAAACGATACAAAAATCTATTAATGAATAAAAAAGATATAATTTTACTTAAATTCTATTATAGTTTTTAATGAATTATTGATTAACTCTTTAAAAACAAATGAACTTGTAAAGATGATTTACTTTATCTTAAAAATGGCAATTAAAACCTAAATCTATTAATTAAGTAAATTTTATATGAAAAGGGGTTGAGATATATTAAATGAAAAACGCAAAAAAAATACAGCAGTTGATATAGGATTCAAATTATTTAATAAGATTTGCTAATATATGAAAATTAAGTTATTTTTGTTTTTTTAATATCATATTTTTCCAATGCATAATTTGGGCAATCACAATGAAAAATGATTTTTAATATTTGATATTTGAGAGATGGTATTTTTATAATTTTTAACTGATATACTTTGAAAATAAAAAGAATTATTACGTTTCATAATTTAAAGATTAAAATTTTAGCTATCGTTGTCTTGTTAATTAATTTGAATTCATAGATGAAATGAAGCATATTTATTATTACTTTAACCTTATTTTTTACTTGATACAGTTTTAAATTTGCTTAATTTTATATATATTAAACATGCATTATTATGAATTAAATACTAAAACCTAAAATATTATGAACGGTCTCTTCATAATTTTTGTGTATTTTATTTATTTATTGATATAAAATTTGAAAATAACATTGAGAATATTAAATTATCAATTAAAATTTAGTTTTTGATGTATAAGTTAATAGAATTGACATTCATTAATAATTAAAGGGATATGTCTTAGATAAATAAAATAATTTGTAATTATGTTTAGATTGATAAATATAAGATTATTAAGTTTAATAGAAAGTATTTTCTAATTTTATTAGGGTTGTAAAAAATAATTAGTATTATAATAATTTAGTTTGTATATATTTAATTTATGAATAAGTCAATTCTGAATGTCAGGGAAAGAAATTTGTAATTTGTATATTTTATGATTGATATTAATAAAGGAGCAATAATTAAGGTTATATTTAAAAATTTAAGTTAAATGATTGATTTAGAAAAAAGTTTGAATAAAAATAATTCTGTTGTAAATTTAATGAACATTGTTCAGTTTATTTTATTTATCATTTTAAATGACTTAATTAAATAATAGGAAATTATAATTTAATGGTTTATGTCAAGGTTGTAAAATTACTAGAATTATATTTTAGAATCGAATTTTGGTGTTGGATTTATATTTTTTTTTTCAATTTTAAGGAGATTTCCAATCTAATAAAGGCATATATTTTAAAGGCTGTGGTCTAAATTGATACTGCATACGCTCAATACTTTCCATCAAAGCTCTGTCCTCATCAAATTTTTTTTTCATTGAAGCAAAATCAATATCGGGTAATATACTTTGTTTACTTTTTTTCTTAATTCATCAATCCAATTATTTAATTTAATAAGCATATTTTTTGAACAATTCTGCATCTCTTCTTCTAAACCTTTCTCAAATTCATCTTAAAATTAAAAGATTTCGTCTTAAATATTCTTCAAATTCTGTTCATTTAATTCTTAAAGTCTTTATTGATTGTATTAACATTTATTTCTGAGGCTTCTAGTTAATTCATTAAATCCTTCGACTATTTTTTTTAAACTTTCTTATAAATTCTGTATATATATCTCCATTTTTTTCCCAATATCTTCAAAAAATTGTATTAATCCTTCTTCATCTTTTACTTTATATTGACAAGAAAAATGTTCATTTCTTTTATCACATTTAAGACAATAAGCTCTATTGGTAGCTCTAAATGATTAATTAAGGCAAACCTATTGAAAAAGATTCTTTTTCCCACAAGAACAATATATCTGAAGATTTCTAATCTAAATCATAATGATATTATTTGTATTTCTATTAAATTATTTATAATTTTATTTTAAGATAGTAATTATATTATCTTAATATATTAGTTAATTAAACATATTTTAATTTTATTTTTGATTCTAAATAGAATAGAAATCATTATGTATGTATCCATTTAATTTAATAAGACAAAAAAATAATTATTAAAAAGATATCAAGAGAAATATTAAATATGAAGATTAATAATGTTAAAAAGAATATAATATTTATAAATCATTTCTATGAGAGAATAATTTCATAAAATACTCCTCCAGTAAATTTCTTAATTTTAATCCAGGTTTCTAATACCATTTCCCAATAATAGCAAAAGCTAAAGGAGAGTATGAAAGTTTAACAAATACTTCATCAGTTATAGACATTATTGGAAATAATTGAATGGTAATTTAATAATATTTATCTATTAAAAGGCATTTTTGCTCTTGAAGTGTAGATCTAAACTGAGAATGATAAGAATCAAGTGCTTTCATATATTAATTGACAAAGTTATTTAATTATTTATTAATTCAACTAAAAATCAATAACATTTAATTTTTAACATATTTTTCATTATTTTAAATATATATTTATTTAGTACATAATTTTTTTTCAAGAATTGATAAAAAAAATAATGAATACTTAATTCTATATATTATTTAATTATTTAATATATTTACAAAAAAATCTGTAATTAAAAATTTATACATAATGAAAAAGTTTATTTTCTGTCAAATTTAGAGATATGGAAGAATATGACTTTTTAATATAATAAATAACTTTAAAACCTATTTTATTTTTTCAATTTCGGTAATACTCCTCCTTGCTAATAATTTGAGTTATTATAAATTACATTTTGTAAAAGTCATCCTTTATTTTTTTTCCTTATCTCTTCATCTTATACCATCTACCAACTTTCTTACCGTATTTGTAATCTCCTTTAAAAATAACTTAATTAAAACTTATCATTAACTATTTAAACTCAATACCTATCAAATCTATCACTTAATTCAATCCACATTCCATTTTTAATTTGAAAAAAAACATTATTATCATCTCCTTTGGTAATCTCATAACATCCTCCTCCTCTAAAGATATTAATAGTATTAGACTTTACATCCATTCCTTTTTCAGACCAACATCTTTATAAAAAATATCCCATTTACCAACTTTATTTTTATTTTAATATGAGCCAACATGGATTATTAACTATCCCTAAAATTTATTAAACTTTTGAAATACATTTTAAAATTATCGCTCAATTCAATCCATCTTCCTATCTTTATAGAATCCTCACAATTAACTAAATTCTCCAAATATGATCCATCACCGCTTTTAAAAATTTATTATTTAAGATTATGTTACATAATCTCATTTTGCTAATTTTATATATATATTGTATCCATTTATTAACTTTCTTACCATTTTTATATTATCCTACGAATATGATTTATCTATCCCTTACAATTTATAGTCACTCTAAATACTTCTAATAATTATCAATCAATTCAATCCAATTTCCAATTTTCTAAGATTTTAGTAATTGATTGTTATATTCCTTTGACTCATATGATCCACCACCACTTTCAAGGAATAATTAATTAAATTAGATACATCTTTTCATTTATCTCCATTTTAATTCCAAAAAATTTGCCAATTTCCAATTTTTAACCCATTATTATATGAACCTTCATAAGTGACTAAACTGGAACTTTCAACTTTAATAATCATTTAGATACAAAACAATTACTTAATTCAATCCAGCTTCCAATTTTAATCGAGTTATTATTACCTTTCTTTACTTCATAAAATCCTCCACCACTTTTAAGAATAAATTTGATAATTACATTAATTGAAATTTATTTCTCTATCTATACATTGTATCCCATTTACCAACTTTATTACCATTTTCATATACACCATCATAAATTATTTGGCATTTACTTATAATTTAATAATCTTTATATGCTTCTAAAATCTTTCACTCAATTCAATCCATTTACCATTCTTTTAACCAAATTCATTATACATTCCTTGAGCATTTAAATAAAGTAAATATAAATATTCTTACATCTCTAAATCTTTATAGAAATACTTCCATATTCCAGACCTCTTAGAATTAATATATTCGCCAACTTCATATACTTATGCTTAACTAATAGTTGTAATAAAAATTTACCTTCGAAAATTATGAAAGAGTTCCTTCCATATCCTCTTTCTCTTTCCTTCATCTAAGTATTTAATATTTTGAATATAATACCATCATATACTCCACCAACATTTTATAATTATTCTCCTTTCCATATAGCTATCCATTTACCCTTTTTATTTAAATACTTTCCATATTCTCCACACATTTAATGATTATTTATTTCTTCTTTATTGATCCACATACTTAAGCTTGCTGATTTTGGAATATCATTTACTTAATCATTTCTTAAATATGAATTTTTAGCATTTACATTACTAATTTTTATAACTTGAGTATAATATCTTCAATTTAGGACTTATTTGAATTTTGGATACTTAAACTTTAATTAATTGAAACTGATGAACCATTAAATTCTGAAATGATTTCCCAATTCAAAAACTTATTTTCTACAATCAAAGATGAGATACTAATGTCTAAATTATACATATTTTCTAGCTCATCAACCAAATCATTTATTTTTATCCTTTAAATCGATTTGTTTAAAGAACAATCAGTCTATATATTTAAACGTTAGACAATCATTTTATTCAATATTTCTACTTCTTTATTCTATAGATTTTTTTGTGCTTTTATTATCCTATTAATTTATATTTGAGAAATAATTATATAATCTTGAATTCTATCTAAGTTAAGTAGACGAAAAAATTATTTTCCTTCCAAAACTTCAAAAAAAATCACTCCTAAATTCCAAATATCTACACTAGCATCGTATTCTTTGCTTATTAATATTTCAGGTGCAATATAATCGTAAGTTCCATTGAACGACATAAATAAATTATCATTCATTTTTTTTGCAATTCCAAAATCTATTAGTTTAATTTTTCCCTTTTGACTTATAACAAAGTTTTCAGGTTTTAAATCTCTATGAAAATATCCATATTTATGTAATATTTATATTGATTTTGCCATCTAATTAAAGTAATATTTACTTCTAAACATGTTTATTATTTATTAGCCAGATTCATCAAATCAATTTAATTTCCAAGTTCCATTACGATATAGCATTTTCCTTTTTAAGTCTATCCAAAAGCAATAATTTCAATTATATGATCGTTAATTTATTCTTTAAGGATTTTAAGAAGTAGAATTTATTCGTTTGTAAATTTTTCTTTATGTTTTTTCAACGCAACTTTTTAATGTTCATTTTGATTCAAATAACCCTCATAAATTTTCGCTTCTGCTCCATGCTTTATTTTATTTGCTTTGGTAATTTTTATGCCATCAATCTCAATTATTTTTTTCTGTTTCATTTAAGAAAAATAATATTATTAATTTTGTTTTGAGTTTACTTGAAAATCCTGAAATTTTTATTCTACATATGCTTTTTAATTGCTAAAATTATGTTAAGCATTACTTTAACATTTAACTATTTAGCTTTATCCTATCAAATCAAAGTAGAATTTAATCTAAAAATATACTTCACCTTACATATTAAGTATATTTTTTAAGATAATCTTGAGATTTGAAATAAATGATGATATTCACTTTTAAGATGAATGAAAATTCTAAATTTTAGACCAGATTGATAATTTGATTTAATTATATTTGATTATTCTCATTTTGTAAAGAAATCTATAAAAGTTTGAAATTATGTTTTGAATTTGAAAGAATATATGATAGTAAACCTTGAAGATATTGATACAAAATAATATATATATATTAAAAATCTAAATATTTAAGTTTAAAATTGGATTTACTTATTTTTGCATCCCATTTAATTTAGGATTTAGAAAATTTAACATATAACAGGATTTTTAATCAACTAAAAGTTTAGTTATTGTTAATCACACTTGATCACTAGTTATGTCATTTTTACTTTTGCCATAACTATGTGTAGATATGTATTTTCAATCCTTTATTTTTACTCAAAACAAATAAGAAAATTAATACAACATTTTAATATTCTACTAAATTTTTTCCTATTCATTCAAGACATTATTGGATCAGTCTAATTCATATTTAATAAAATTATTATATCCCTAAGATCACTTAAATATATATTATATTTGGAATAATAATCATTTAGACTTTACAATTCCTTATTAAATGAGCATCATTGAAGAATTAATAAATTGAAATTAAATTATTATTATAATTATTCTTATATTAATGTTATATCCAATATACAATTTTCTTTTAGATTGACAGTAATATAATGCTGAGATGTAAAATGTATTTTGGGTTTATTTGGAAGATAGATTAGATTAAAGCAAAATTATTATGATATTTTTCATTTCTAAAATAACTTAAAAATTTTGATTATATTATCATAACAAATTACGAAATATTTTAAATCTGGAGTTATTTTTATAGATTAATGTCTTCCAGGAAATGGTAACCTCTATTAGACAATAATGTCGCCATTATCTTTTAATTTTAGAAATATGAAATCTTTTGAATTGTATCCTAATAGTAGAGATGCCCTTTCAGAATAACATAAAAGAGTAATATATTCATCAAGATGTGTTTTAATTTCAAATTAATTATTTTTTTGTTAAACATATGATCGAAAGACTGGTTTTGAAGTTAGCC